ACCCTAGTCTAGTTGATCTGGCCACATTTTATAATTTAACACTAGTGATATGATGCAGTCTCTGTTGCTCTTCTCAGTCTTACCAAAATATATCTCACACATATATCTATGAATATATATATGGTATATCTTCTATGTGTCTGTATGTATGTTAATGTAACATATGTATTTGACTTTTTCCTAATTTAAATTTTGGAGGGGAAAAATACATTCTGGTCCATAGAGCATGATTTATAGCTCACATAGTAAGTCAGAGTGCTTCTAGCAGGCTCAGCCAGTCTTGTCTGGGTAAACTGAGGGCACCTAATGAGCATCCAGCCCTCATAGAAGAACTCTTTCAAATTTTCTGAACACCAAACCTTCCCCAACTCCTTAGAAAACCCTTTGTTCAGGCCATAAGTGCGCTATCATCTTCATACCTCTCTAATCTCTATAATAAGCACTGACTTTCGTGACAAAATGGTACAAGCAGGGAGTTTACTCAGGAAAACCAAGAGAACAGTGCTTGAAACTTAACTTATGTTTACTCAGAATTAGTCGACAAATTTTTTATTTTATTTTATTTTTATTTTTAATATATCTTTATTGATTTCAGAGAGAGGAAAGGAGAGGGAGAGAGAGATAGAAACATCAATGATGAGAGAGTCATTGATCGAGCCCACAACCTGGGCATGTGCCCTGACCGGGAATCGAACCCTGATCGCCTGGATCCCAGGTCGACCCTCAACCGCTGAGCCACGCCCGGCAGGGCAATAGACAAATTTTTTAACAAAACTGAGGTCCTGGTAATGCGTTGTAACACTGGCTCCAAAAGTAACTTATAAAATTTCATGGACTGTTTTCACTTAAAAAAAAAAAAGTAAGCTTTGTGGTATTTTAACTTGTTCTATTCCCATTTTCCTCTCTCCAGCTCTGCAGTAGCCTTAACAATCAACAGCCTCATAACCATGTTAGCTGTGAAAACCAGCAGACTCCCAGCCACTGGAGAGGGCAGAATGGATTTAGAGCTCTCCAAAGCCCCATCCTAAACAACTTGTCTTTAGGGGCCTGAAGACAAAGTCCCCTATGTACAGACCAACTGCCTTTAAAGCATATTTACAGAAATTACATTTAGCTTGCAGAGCCTGTAACGACACTGGATTATATGAAAAATCCTGTTCCATACTACAAACAAAGCGGGACACTGAAGTGCTGAGCAAGATTTTGTTCAGCAGCTATGGACAGTAGGGGAAAGAGCTGAGCTCCTTTCCAATTTGTACGGAGGTTGCTGGCTGTTTTAGTGGAAGGAAGGAGTAGGGATGAGTGAGTGCGGCTCAAGTAGAGTCAGGGGAGTGGCACTGCAAAGGGTTGTGTAAAAATGGTTGCTAGCTGGCAATGAACTGAGTTAGGATTTTACCATCCCACTGAAACTGGGAGACAGTGGCCCCATCCTCTCTGATAAACTACATTTCAAAGGATTAGCTTTCAGGGCCTGTAGAAAGACATACCTGAGTAGTAGAAGATGTGTGAACATCTCACAGGGTGGAAGGAAGGATTAGAAATTGTAGGCGAATGCTCTAAGAAACGGAGATGGGGCCTAAGGCCAGGTGTTGACTAGAACAGATTAATTCTTCTGACTGTCCTGATTTTTTCCCCCGACAGGAACTGAAGAAGGGGCTGGGTCATCCCAGGGACTTGCCTTGGGGCAGGGGTTGGGTCTCATGAGTTCTCTGCAGTTCTCATCAGCACAAGTCACTGTGTGCAAAACTGACATTCATTTTACAGGATAACTTTAGTAAGTAATTTCCTAGTGCTTAAGTGACACTGTTTTCATAAGATATGTTCATTTTCTCACTACACAATTTTATGGTTTTTGCCATACACAAAAAAGATATCAGAACACAGGAGTAACCTACCGGGCCTTTCCTCCTCATGCGGTACTAAAAGCTGTAAAATTCCGTGACCCCCTTTCCTCTCAGCAGTTTCCTGACTGCATTCCAGGGAACAGCACTCAGTGCTTTCAGGGTGGCTGTGTTCCAGAACCAGCCAGCAGGGCAGCCAGCCCTGCGCCTTCCTGTCCTAACCCAGGAGTGTTTGCTCAGGCGCCCAGCGGCGGGCAGGGCGCGCCGAGCCAGGCGGGAGCCTGCAGCGGGGGCGCTGGACGGCGCGGGTTTCCATCGCAGGCCGCTGGCTCGTGTCCCTCGGCGTTACCAGCCGGGAGATAAGATGTTATCTTGATCGTTTTGTTTGCTGACTTAAGAGTTTTATTTCCCTGCAGGTGGCCAGCGGCCCTCATTCATCTAAGAAGCAGGTCCGGGATGATTACTGCTGTTATACCATGCCGGGCAACTGAAGGAAACATCAGTGTGGGGTGGGAAACTGCATCTACTCTTCTGGGGCACTCCCCTGGAGGCCCAGTGAGACTGGAGGGGAAGGGGGGTGGTGCTTCATATTTTACAAAA